AAAAAAAAAAAAAAAAAAAAAAAAAGAAGGAAACCGCCGAGCAGAGAGGTTACATGTGGCAGGGCTGGGGGCTGCGAGGGAGAAACCAGCGGAGTCCTCGGGCAGCTCTGCAGCATTCGCTGGGGCACTGTCAGCGTCAAATAAACGCTGAGGAGGGTCTGTCACCATCAAAGCTGAACTGAGAGGCCCTTCAGATGGAGCCTGTTTCCCCCCTTGGGTAACACCGAGCAGCTCTGGATTGCCAAGTGATGGTGTTCCCTGCCTGCTTGGCTCTGAGCCCTCGCTTGCCTTTTTTTCCCCTGCTTTTGATCCGTTTTTTGTGTACTCTATTCCATTTGATTCTGCCTTTTTTTGGAAGCTACTTTAATTCTTTCCTTTCAATCTGTCTGCTCCCGTTTGTCAGTTTTAATTTCCCCCCTCACACCGCTTTCATTGTTCCCTCCTCACCAAGGTGGGGGAAAAAGGCGACACCAGCTTTACTGGGAAGTGCTCAAGTCTCCAACCTGCAGCCCCAACCGCACCCCTCGGGGTTCAGTCCAGGGCCAGCTGGAGGAGCGGGGAGCACTTGGTGGCCTCTGATCTGCTTTGTGCCACCACGGAGCAGATGGTGCCTGTGGGCTCATGTCCCCAGGGGCCTCGTGGTTCCCCCAGCAGAGGCCGGGGGTTGGGGTGGCAGGTCCCGCACCCAAGTCGCAGAGGCAGAGCTTATACTAGCGCTAAGGTTTGTCTCAGCATGGAGACTTAATCCCTCTTGGCTAGAAAAGCGATGGCTTTGGCTGTTGTTGATGGAAACTGGGACCAATGGTGTCAAATAAGTTTTTACACCTGCCTCCTCACGGGGCTGGTGTGTTAGTTCTGTATAAACAAACCCAAAAAATCTAGCAGAGAAGGATGCTTAGGACAAAAAAAAAAAAAAAAAAAAAAAAAAAAAAAAGGTGTTTTGAAGCATTGCCTTGCTTTGCCCTCAGGATTGGACTCCCTGGGGCACGTCTTCCCCTCGCTGCCTGGCCAGCATGCTCCTGGCTCACTTGGCCAGCAGCATCATCTGTGTGGCACAGTGTCTATATGGGGACACAAGTCCAGCGAGGGGTCAGGAGTGCCCTGAGGCGACTTGGGTAGCCTCAGGTTACCTGCTGCACCACGTCCCTCTGAGCACGTGCCATGTTTAGCCTCTACGCTGAAGCCACGGTCTGCACAAATGTAGCTTCTTCTGTTTCTTGACATCCTTTCCCCAGCAATCTCAAACTGCGTGCCCTGGCGACGGCCCTGTCCCCAGGCTTCTTGAGGTTTGGTGGCACCCAGACAGATTTTCTCATCTTTGATCCCAACAAGGATTCAACTCTGGAAGAAGAAATCCTCTGGGAACTCCAGGCCCAGCAAGGTAAAACAGGCATCAATGTGTTAAACTCAGAACCATCCTGGGTTTAGGAGGTGGCATTGATGCAGGCTGGGGATGCCGCAAGGGCACAGCAGCACTGCTGGGGTCCTCCGTGGGGGTCAGCATTGCTCTCCTCCATGGAAAGGAGACCTGTGAGCCTTCAGCATGGTCTGTGGGATGATGAACTGTGCCAGCCATGGGAAAATGAGGAGGGACACAGGGAAGCTCCTGTCCACCCTGGCATCTGTTGGGACCCTGCCTTGGCTGCCCTACACTCCTCGCAGCAGCCTTGGGACCCCCCTGCCACCTGGAAGGCGGTCAAGGTCAGCTTAAAAATTGTGGTTTCACTGCGAAAATTGAGTAACGGATGGAAGAAATAATCTGATGAGAACAGAGTGTCCATTTTCTCTATCTTGGCCAAAGGCAGAGCTAGGCTGGGGGCACAGCCTTGCCCTCCTGTTGCTTTGACAGGGCAGGCGCAAACCCACCGGGCCAGCGCCAGCTGCTCGAGCTTGGTCCTGCTGCGGGAGGTTTCCCTCTGCACTGAAGCCTGTTTCCTCTTTAAACTTAGCAAAAGCTCAAAGACCTTGCTGAAAGCATTTCCGATGAAAAATTTCCCATCTATTCCTGTGGTCCCTGTGCAGCCCTGTACAATCGGTGATGTTCAGATTTGCAGTCGTGGTACTTTCCCCCTCTTCCCCCCAACCCCCCCCCCCC